TTGATTGATTGAGTCAGGGACAGGACCATGATTATGAGTGGATGCCTTTCTGGGACAGGAGAAACAATAACTGCAGAAAAATATGGAGCGTTCACAACTGAAACCGTTTTCAGGCTGCACAGAAAAAGTTTAGCCTGGGGACCAGAAGAATCTAAAAGCTTGTGTTTCATACACTCTGCAGACCTCCCCTCTTTTATTTAATCTGATTTCAGCTAGAATCCCCTGGCCCATATCAATCAGATCCATTTATTGAAAATACACTGGGTTTCACTGAATAAATGAACAAAGGAGGGATGTTACTGCCTGCTGCATGAGACAGTTTGCTTTTGCAGTTGCTCCATTCATTTGCAATCAAACATATTCTTGTCTGTAACTTTTAATAAAAATCCTTTGGAAAAACTTGTTTTTCTTTTTGTATTTCAGTCATTCGTGTACAATGTCAGGCTGAAAGGTTCCTATTTCATTAGGACTACACCCAACCACATGAAGAAAATTCGAGGGTGGTCTGTGAAGAACCAAGAAAGTTTGAGCCTAATTCTGGACCTGAACCCAACAGAGCATCTCAGGAGGGACTTGAAAATGGTTGAGCTCTGACATCTCCAATTCAAACTGGTTGATCTTGAATGCATCTGTCAAGAAGAATGTGGGAAAATTCTAAAAGTGAGGTGCGCCAAGCCTGTGGCAGCATTCCAAAAATGGACTTGAAGATAATGGTGCCGTCAAAAGAGCTTCAGATTAAGAACTGAATTTATTTTGAACGTTGAAAAACTTGACTTACATTTATTTTAGTGACTGGATTATGCCTAACCCTAACCATAGCCATTACCAGTCTATTCCTAACCCTAACCTTAACTAAATCTTAATCCACTCCATACCTCTAAAACCAATGAGTAGAGCTCTGTGTGTTGCAACAAAGTGAGGATCAGGCAAAATGTCCTCACTTTGTGATCCTCACGTTAAAGATGAAAAGTTTGTCACACAAACCAGCAACCTTCTTGCTGCAATGCAACAGAGAATTCAACTGTGCCACCATGCTGCACAATGCAGTAAAAAGTAACTTAAATAATACAATCTTTTGATTCCAATAATCTAACCATGACCGCTTGTGTTTGCCCTACAGTGCTTTTTTGGTCAAAGAAAAAAAGGATAGAAAAACTTCAAAGAGTTCTAAACTTTTCATCAGCGCTGCAGATAAACATTTCAAATGGTGGAATAGTTCCAGTTCAAACTTGCAGTAGAATCCGGGTCACGCTGTTTGTTTGCTGTGTCTGTTTCAGAGAAAGTAACGTCTGTAAGTGTTGTCTCATTTTAATAGAAGCTCACAGTATAATAACCTCGGCCACTGGCCGGCCTCCACAGACCTTTCACCAAGTGCCAACAACAGCTCAAAAGCAACTAAAGAGAAATCTCCAGCTTTTTGACACACAGAATCACCTGAAAAACAGTCAAACTCTGCTCCACCTGGCAACCTGACAGATTATTGTCCCCCTTAGATAAGCTTTCTTTAGAGTCCAGTTTAGGCTATTTGAAAGCCAGAAAATCAGGTTGAACCCCTGGTTGTAGCTCCCAGTATCGGCTTGTTGACCTAAAAATGGTCTCAAATTAGTGGTCTGACAGTTTACTATATAAACAAGCAATCATAACACCTTTGGGGGTGAAAATCTTTACCAGGCCAGTGGGCTTTTATCTAAAATTTTAGCATAAATAAAAAACATGTTTGGGCACTCAACACTCCAAACTACACCTCTCTAGTCAATGTTTGGCCATGAATCCCATTGTTCTAAATCAGTTCAAAACCATTAAAAATAAGGTCACTGCATGCTTTTCCATCACCCTGAGGGCCTGTCATTTTCAGCATCAACTAAATATTCTTCCAAGAGTAAAAGTTTAGGGTCTCTGTCACCATCGGGATAATCGCTCCACAGCGTTAAATGTTTGTGAGACATGAGGCAGAAATGTAAAACATGTCAAACAGCGCGGATGGCTTTTAGATGCAACGTATCAACACTTCACTGAGATCTGTTTTGACACAGCTCCAAGAAGAGAGAATCCTGACTGCAACACGAGGGTGGAAATACGTCGCCAGGGTCGTAATTACAAGTCAGCTGACTGAAACATGTCAACATTTGGGTGGTGAAAGTGAAAAAGATACCTGTCGGCAAAGTTCTGTCATCCAGTTGCAAAGAATAAGTATTTTATGAAGTGAAGTCATTGACTATTAGAACATTTTGATGGTTTGAGACATTTTTCCTTCTGTAAAATGGAGATTATGTTAAAGTTGTTTAATAAAGACTTATTAGAATATCACTGTGGGGTGAAGCTATGCATGTGAGTAGGTGAAGGAAGGAGTTCGGTTTTGCACATTTTAACCAAAAGTGTTTAAAGTAAACTCAGAATTTAGAACCTCGGGCTGCACAGTGACACAGTGGTTAGTGCTGGGTTCAAATCCTGGCCTGGGGTCTTTCAGCAAGGAGTTTGCACGTTCTCCCTGTGCATGTGTGGGCTCTCTTAGGGTACTCCGCTTTCTTTCCACAGTCCAAAAACATGTCAGGTTGATTGATTCCTCTAAAATTGTCCTTAGGTGTAAGTGTGTGTGCATGGTTGTTTGTCCCGTATGTCTCTGTGTTGCCCTGCGATGGACTGGCAATCTGTCCAGGGTGTACCCCGCCCGTTTGTCCGGAGATTGCTGGTTCAAAAAATGCTCTAAAGTACCCTAGTCCTTGATTGTGGCTGTACATTAAGGGTACCTAGAATGCAGTTAATCAGTAATCTAAAACTGATTTTTGAGTCTGATTTTTGTTGGAGTTTAAAATGTCCCAGGAGCCCTGAGAAATGGCCAGCTAAAACATGCATAAGGCTCATTATGAAAAGACCTGTTTTCCCTGCCCACTTTACTAGTGGGCAGGGAAGTGTGTGTGTGTGTGTGTGTGTGTGTGTGTGTGTGTGTGTGTGTGTGTGTGTGTGTGTGTGTGTGTGTGTTGGGGGGTTTGAAGAGAGACAAGTGAAAGCAGAAACTGAACTACAATCAGGGTTTCTCAGGCAGTTCCCACTCAAGCCTTATATAACATTGAATAATGGATCTTTTAACCGTCTCAGGCTCAAAATAAGTTTTGATAAAAGGACGAACAACGAAGTCCTTCAGGGGTACTTCTGAGTTAAAAAATGCTCATGAAATACATATGTGGAGTAGCCAGGTAGGTAGGTTTTAACATTGCAAATCTGCAACGCGTCTCTTACAAGATAAAACCAAAATAGCTTCTATCATTTATTGGCTTACAAGAAGGTTAAGGAGTAAAAATAGGGGAAAACACACTTGGTTCCTGCTGTATGTAACTTTCCTTTGACTTAGTTGCAAGGGAACCAGCAAATATGAACCAATGAAGTTTAAAGCAGAATCAACAGTGGCGGCTGGTGAAAAATATTTTTGGTGGGGCTGTGCTATTTTTTTTATTTTTAAACAAACTTGTGCTTTCTGAGCTTTGTGCACAACTTCACTATTTCCTGAATTAAGCACAGCTCTTTTATTTCCTGTCTTACATCATTGGACAAACTGATTCATCCAGGTGTGTCTGACTATTGGCACGCTGCCTTGCGGACCAAGGTTGAAAAATACAGCATTAAATTGCACATAAAATAACATGACCATAAATGGTAAATAGGCAATGCAAGAGGCAAGTAACAAAAACATTTTGTTTAATTTCAACATTTGAGTGAACACCAAAAATTATGAGCAGGTCACTGTTACAGTAATGGTAGTAAACACTACTTAGACAAAATGCCAGAAATGTACACTGTTAAATATTTCTGGAGTGTTGTGCCAAGGTCAACTTTATACAAAGATCAAGAGGATGCATTTGTGTGTGTGTGTGTGTGTGTGTGTGTGTGTGTGTGTGTGTGTGTGTGTGTGTGTGTGTATGTGTGTGTGTGTGTGTGTGTGTGTGTGTGTGTGTGTGTGTGTGTGTGTGTGTGTGTGTGATACCTCATTTGTACAGAAATTTTGCCCTTCTGTCCTTCTGAGTGGCAAAGCTCTCGATTAGCTTTTTATTGAAGTCAGGAATGTTTGTGACAAGCTTTTTTTTCCATGGAGAGCATGGCAAGAGCATTCAGCCCATCCTGTGTCATGGTGTTCCTCAAGGAAAGTCTTAATCCTCTTTAAAGTAGAAAAGCACCTTTCTGATTCGGCTGTGGTCATGGGTGTGGTGACAAGAATCTTCTTTTGCATGGCTCAGGATGGTGTGAAAAACCTGTCATATGATAAATAAAAAACAACAGATAAGTACATAGGAAACACTTTCATAGGAAATAATGTCATCAGTATCCTCTTACAAATGTCATATTTCCCAGTTTTTGGGACAATAAAACATTTCTGATTCTCAATCAGATGTTTTTACATTTGAGGTAAAAACATCTAATTGAGAATCAGAAATGTTTAATTGTCCCAAAAGCTGGGACATTTGTTTGCTGCAGCAGAAGTGTAACAAGTAAAATGGAATCAGATTGATGTATGTACAAATTTACATGAAATACACATTTACGTGATTAAATATGTATAATAAGTATGTGTGTTGAAATTAGTTTTTACAGTTATTGCACATTAAACATGTTATTAAACAAATGTCCCGGTTTGTGGGACAACCAAGGATTTCTGATTCTGATTGTCTTGTTCACAGAAATGTAATGTACAGCTTACCTCTGCACCCAGCTGCTGTTGTTCCCTGCATGGCAACGTTAGCTCTGCTGCCTAGCATGGCTAGCTTCACCGTGTTGTTGTCCATGTGTGCCCGGGATGACTCGTGTTTCTTCACCTTCTCAGAAAAATGTTTCATGTCCGTAACTCCTGACTCATCCATGCCTTATCTGTCCCAGCCGTTTTGAATAACAAACACGGAAAGCAAAATAACGCATTAGCGTGATTGCATCCAGCTAGCCAAGCCTTCCTGGTGTACCAATTTTGGGAGAAGCCTAGTGTGTACAGTTTACCTCTCTCCTTCTCCTGCTGGCTTATCTTTACGTTGGGCTGATCTGGTCCAAGCTCTTTGACATTAAGTTTTTCCACCATAGTTCTCCTCTCGAACGGATACTGGAGAGGAGACCGAACTGAATTCAGTGGCTGCTGAGATCCGGTATCCATGCTGGTTGTAGTCACCGGCGGCGTCCATGTTACATCTGCGTCACGACCAAAAACGACTCTGCCGAGTTCTACCGAACACCAACAATCCTTTGGCTGTAGCTCCATCGCCCATGATGCTTCTGAAACGTTCTGAAACAACGTCGACGCTGATTGGATACATTCCCATTCCTACCCTTTGATATTTTTGTCAGCAATTGGACAGCTGGTCTCGTCCTGTTTGGGCGATTGAAAAACAGCACACAGCCTCCACCGCTCGGCAGAGCTTGGCAGAGACCGGCAGAGACCAACATAGATATATATATATATATATATGATTTATTTTTGTTACAAAACACACAATTAACTTAGAATATGTGAGTATTGTTAATTTTATTTATTTATTTTTTTAAATAAAAATTAAAAACACGGAAAAACTGGGAGGGCGGCGCCCTATCGCCCTCTACTGGCCAGCCGCCACTGAGAATCAAGAAGGTTTCAAACCCTTATCAATGCAGACATGTTGGCATGATAGAGTAAGAAGGTGTCAGGTTCAATTGGCTGAGCTGAAGTGTAGCGGAGGTTGCTTGTAGCGTAACTGCTTGACCCAGACGTGGAGTGGATAGCGTTGGGTTAAACAGAGCACGCAGCTTTGATCTGGGAACAGCGGCACAACACTCGGAAAGAGCCGAGACTGAGCCGCAGTTCCGAATAAATAAGGAAGCTGACTTACTGGTGGTAGACAGCGTGGAAAGATCCCTTTCCTGGTTTGAGGACTGGTAAGCCTGAGAACTCGGGTCGATGTCTGGTATGAACGATGACTGAGGGATGAATGAGTGGCGGCACTTCCGTAAATAGAGTCGGCGTGATGATGTCGATGAGCCACGCCTGTGATGGGAATGCTGGGAAGTGTAGTAGTCTGCCAGTTGGGTCCGTAGGGGGTGGTCAGGAGGAAGAGTTCGTGGAAATTGTAAGGCTCGAAAAAGAGGGCCCACCAAGTCTGGCGAGGATTAAGTTGACAGGCAGTCTGAAGGTGTATTAGGTTCTGATGGTCGGTCCAGATAAGGAAAGGGTCGGTGGTACCCAAGAGCCACTGCTGCCACTCCTCCAGAACCCATTTTATCGCCAGCAGTTCTCGGTCGCTGACCCCATAGTTCTGCTGTGTAGGGGAGAACTTCTGGGAAAAGTAAGCGCAGGGGTGGAGTTTGGAGTCCGGGCCTCATTGCGAGAGGATGGCTCCCGCTCCCACCTCGGAAGCGTCCACTTCCACGACGAAGGGCCAGGTCAGATCCGGGTGGAGGAGGATGGGTCCACTCACAAAGCGACGGACTAGATCATGGAAGGCACAGGTAGCCTCCGGGGTAAGACGGAAAGGGCGAGGCTGGTTGGTGGCTTTGGTGAGGGAGGTTAGAGGTGCTGCAAGGGAACTGAAGTTGCGTATGAACCTGCGGTAGAAGTTTGAGAAGCCCAGAAATCTCTGCACCTGTTTCAGGGTTGTGGGTAATGGCCACTGTGCTACTGCCTGAACCTTTTGAGGATCCATCCTCAGGCCCTGGGAGGAGATGGTAAAACCCAGGAAAGAGGTGGACTCCCGGTGAAAGGCGCACTTTTCCAGTTTGCAATATAGATTGCGGTCCAGGAGATGAGACAGAACGGCCTGAACATGCCGGATGTGTTCTTCGGCCGTGTGAGAGTATTAGAGTATGTCATCCAGATATACGAAAACCCAGCGGCCCAACACGTCTCTCAGTACATCTGTGATGAATCGTTGGAAAACCGCGGGGCTATTGCAGAGGCCAAAAGGCATAACTAGGTACTCATAGTGGCCGGTTGGTGTGATGAAGGCGGTCTTCCACTCCTCCCCCTCCTTGATGCAGATCAGGTTATAAGCACTGCGCAGGTCCAGTTTGGTGAAGAGGGCAACTTGGGTGATGGCGTCCAGAGTGGTAACCATGAGAGGAAGAGGGTGATGATGCCGGATCGTTATTTTGTTCAACCCCTGGTAGTCAATACAGGGCCGGAGATCCCCCTCTTTCTTCTTCACAACAAAAAACCTGCGGCACCGGGGGATGTGGAGTGGCGGATGAACCCCTTCTGGAGGGCCTCGGTTATGTAGGAGTCCATTGCCCAGGTCTCTGCCAGGGAGAGAGAGTATAGACGACCCCGGGGCGGGGTGGTACCGGGCTGGAGCCTGATCTCCAGGTCATAAGGCCGATGAGGGGGTAATCTGGTAGTGGGTTCCTTGGCAAAGACCTGAGCGAGGTTGTGGTACTGTGGAGGAATGAGTGTCAGGTCTACATCCCTGGGAGGTGTTGATCGAGTCCGGGGTGCAGGGGAACTACAGTGGGTCTGGCATCCGCACCCCAGGCCATGACCTTACTGGTGGACCAGGATATGTGAGGCTCATGGCGGCAGAACCAGGAGTGACCCAGGATGAGGGGAGTAGCCAGGGCCTGAATGACCAGGAAGTGAAGGGTCTCCAGGTGTTGCGTGATGGTCATGTGGATGTCCTGGGTTCGGCGGGTGAGAGGATATGGCATGAGCGGACGGCCGTCCACTGATGTGACAGGAATGGGTCGGTCTAGAGCGGTAAGGGGTATCTTGAGCTGGGTGACCAGTCTCTGGTCAATGAAACATTCAGCGGCGCCGGTGTCCAGAAGAGCCTCCAGTCGGGCCAGACCTTGGTCCAGTTGGAGGGAGACTGGGAGGGTGGTGCGATGTGGGACTAGAAAAGTGGAGACTCCGGGCGGGACAGCCCCTACTTGGACCCGGAGGGACCGTTTCCCGGTCGTCTCGGGCACGTGCCACTGTGGTGGCCCAAATCCCCACAGTAGGCACATCGTCCTTCCTGGTAACGCCGCGCCCGTTCGTCAGGGGAAGACTTCCCAGCTGCATGGGTTCCTCCGTCAGTTGGCTGCCCTGTTGACGGGGTGACATTCTAGTGAGAACGGGAGCCAACATGGCACTCGGTCGGTTAAGGATGCAGCAGTCCAATTGGAGGGCCAGGTCCACCACCAGGTCCAGGGAGGTTGGGACCTCATGTCCGATCATCCCCTCACGGATTCGGGGGGACAACCCCTCCAGGTAAACGGCCTTCAGGCCGGCGTCATCCCAGGTCAACCGAGCAGCCGTGGTCCGGAAGCGGGAGGTGTAATGGGCCACCGTCTGGGAGCCCTGGCGGAGTTGAAGCAGTCGGGTCTCATCCTCAACCTCGCTGCTGGGATGAACAAACGCCTTCTTCATCTCCTTCACGAAGGTCTCATAACTGTTGCAGACAGGAGACTTCTGGTTATAAAGAGCCGCCGCCCATTCACCGGCCCGACCCGTCAGCAGGGAGGTCAGCAGGGAGGTCAGCAGGGCGACGCAAGAACAGGACGTGGGGTAGCGTGCCGGCTGGCACTCAAACGTCATTGCCAGGGTGGCCAGCATGCCTTCCGGGGACCCCCTGGTCCCATCCCACTTGTCTGGGAGACTGAGACGTGGTTCCATGTTGTCAGTGACGGCTGAGGCCTGTCGTTGTAGGGTCAGTGGAGGCTTGGCTATCTGCTACGGCACGAAGCTGGGTAATGTCTGCCGTCTGTCGATCTACAAGGGTGCGAAGTTGAGCCACTTCTGCACGTAGGTGAGCGAACTCCGCTGGGTCAACCTTAGACTCAGTCATCCTGTCAGGTTCGATTGGCTGAGCTGAAGTGTAGCGGAGGTTGCTTGTAGCGTAACTGCGTGACCCAGACGCGGAGTGGCTAGCATTGGGTTAAACAGAGCATGCGGCTTTGATCTGGGAACAGCGGCACAACACTCGGAAAGAGCCAAGACTGAGCCGCAGTTCCGAATAAATAAGGAAGCTGACTTACTGGTGGTAGACAGCGTGGAAAGATCCCTTTCCTGGTTTGAGGGCTGGTAAGCCTGAGAACTTGGGTCGATGTCTTGTAGGAATGATGACTAAGTGATGAATGAGCAGCTGCACTTCCGTAAATAGAGTCGACGTGATAACGTCGACGAGCCACGCCGGTGATGGGAATGCTGGGAAGTGTAGTAGTCCGCCAGTTGGGTCCGTAGGGGGTGGTCAGGAGGAGGAGTTCGCGACAGAAGGACACAGAGAAGCATTCATTTTGATTAAGTAGCTGCAGGAGTGGAATGCAGACCTCATTTATAAACCCAAGTCATCCCTAATTTGTCAAGTCAACACGTTTGCTGAGGCTGTTAGATTGTAATGCAACTGGCCATTTTACTAGCTTAGAAATCTAGACCAACCGTAACAATAGCAAAAGATCGTAATCTGCAGGTCTGACTAGACACGCTCCATTGTAGCCTCAGCAGGTTGACAGTTCTGTGCCTAGCTTATAACAGCACTATGATTGTTGGGTGGGTTTAGCACTACAGCTGCAATGGAGAAAACTACAAGATGGCATAGAGTCAGGAACAGCGCTTGGCTTTGGCATTAATTTGGGGTTTTACTTAAATCATGACTATGGTTGAAAATAACCTAAAAACGTTCAAATGTTGAAAAGGAAGAATTTCATTTTATTTTTGAAAAAGCAAATCAATTATTTTAAACAGAGAGTAAATGCAAGAAGATTTCATTTTAGACCTGAAATCTTTTTAATCACACAGCTCTTTCAGCTCACCAGGTCAACGTGGAATCTCTTATATACTGTATATATTGCAGCATTGTCTCTATTCCCTCAAGATCTTCTGGGGGAACGGATGTTTATGCAGTTGCCATGGTGAGATGTCTCCTTAAGAAAAGGAGCTGCAAAGGGATGCAGGATTAACATCACCCTTGCCGAATGTCATTAAACTCACCCTGTTGTGTCTCAGCAGCTGAAATATCACTCCCATATAGGGTGGGAGCAACCGTTTGGGAATGAGGGCAAATGATGCAAAATACATCAACAATTTATTTTTATTTAAAGCACCTTTTCACCTCAAATCAACTGGGGAAATTGAACCATCTCTTCACATGATGGAAGAATAAATATACCCACAAATGAGGATACCTTATCAAATAATACAGTTGAGATTCGTTATTTTAAATCCAGAGTAGTATTATGATTTCCTTGTATGCAGGATATCACGTTTCTCAAATATAAATACTGTTTCCCAAAAACATAAACAGATAAACTTAGAAGAGAAAGAGGAAACTGAATCTTTTTTTTCCCTTTGCTTCTATAGTTAGCCGTGCCTGGGATACATCTATAAAAATTCACAAGGACATTGTGTGGCCAAATTTAAGGAGGCCATAGCTCTAATTATCAATTAACTGGGTTATTATTCTCGCTTAACTCA